GTACATGCCCTTGACCGGAATCGAACCTGGGACCCTTCAGTCCGCAGGCCAACACTCTATCTACTGAGCCAAACCAGTTAGGGCATAAAATAACTTTTTGAAACTCCTCACCCATTTTAATGATTTTTTCACTATGCAGAAAACCATATGTTTACTTTTAGTATTTGACAGGAGTGCGAGAGAATCATGGGCAAAGGTGGGCAATATTTCTGCCATTGGCGGCATTTGTACACTGAGGAGAGAGTTCAGACTCTCCCTGCCGGTTGTGCTCAAATGAAGAGTTCACATTTCTGGAATTCCTTTTGTCCTCCAGGGAGCTGATATAAGGGAACGTGACAACTCGGAAATAGAATGCAGGTTACCCACCCACGCACCCACCCGTTCCCTATCCCTGTTGCTGTGCGTAAGTCATCCCCGAGGACTGAAGAAGCTGGTCTTTTCGGATTGCTCATCATTTTTTATGTTTTAGGAAAACTTTTCCATTTTCATTTTCCAAGTTCTCTAGTGACCAAGAAACTATTTACCCCAAAGTCACCAAAATGTCAGCTACGTATAGCATTTGGAATTTTTGGCTCAAATAAAAAACAAAGCCCCCCCAAAAACCTGTATTCTATTCTTTTCACAGTTTTACATAGCAATAGAAAGTAATACAAATAAAGACCTTTGTCTGGGCCTCTTAATTATTCCTGATATTGGTCATATATATAAGGTCATACCAGCACATTGGATCTTGCTTATAATAAATGGATAAAAAAACACCCAAATCCTTTTTTGTTTTCCACACGCAGGCATTAAGATTCCTAGATTATCCTGAACAAAAAGGTGAAGTGAATAAACTTGACAGCTCTGCTCAAAGCAATGCCTGTTTTTAAATCCAGACCCAGGTTCCGACCCCAGCGCTTGAATTTTATACCTGTGAAACGTTCTCTGACTTTGGAGCCATGGATTTTTAGATCTGTAAAAGTGGTTTCAGATCCCTGCCCTTCCTACCACATAGGGTTGTTGTGGGGATCAAATCTAACCATTTATGTGAAATTATAAACTATGAAAGTACTAAACTAAGCCTTTGAGAGCTGGGCTTAGCAGGCGCTGTGTTTTAAGAAAGAAGAGTACTGTCCGTTGACCTAGAGCAGCTATTTTCAACCTTTTTCATCTCATGGCACACAGAAACTATTAAAATTCTGCGGCACACCAAAAATATATATATTTTTTGCAGATCTGACAAAAATAGGTATAATTTTGTTTCATTCACACCATATGGCTATTGTTGTGTTGGTTGTTGTCATTTTTTTTTAATTTAACAATCTAAGGGAGAAGAGGTCAGTGCCCCTAAGTAGCCAGATATTGCATGTTTTAAAAATTCTTGTGACGCACTGGTTGAAAATCACTGAGCTACAGTGTAATGGAAACTCCCTCTGTACCTTGAGAGCTTGTGCACACACATGAGCCTGAACTTTTAACCTTGCACCAGACACCCCTGGCTGACCTGTTTAGTTATGAGTTACTTGTCTGGGTTCTGCTGGCTTCTCACTAACACCCCTCCCCACAGGGGAAGAGAGAAGGACAAAATTTTTTGCTTTGGTGGTAGCCCCAAACTATGATCAGGTCACCTTTCACTCCTGGAGGAGGGGCTAGAGGGCCATATGAAGTAGGCAGTCTGCAGAATCACTCCTGCTCATCTCTGTAACTTCTTTCTTGCTTTTAAATTTTTATTTTACCCATCTATACTTACTAGGTGTAGAATATGTAGAAATGCTTACAAGGCATAAAAACAGCCACATGAAAGTATTAGCAATCATCATTAATACTTCTTACGATAATAAGTGAGTAAAACAGAGACTGAAACAGCCTCATGGACACGTCCCCGCATATATTCCTTATTACTGCCAAGGAATCCACCGTTCTTTTAACACCAGAATGTCATTGCCAGGAATGAAATACAAAGTTGACCACACTCACCAAAATCTTGAGACAGTACATGAATTATGTTAATCATCATAATAAAATGCTAATATGCAAATGGTCATCACACTGCGACGACGAAAGGACCGATCAGCAGGGACCTGACTCTGCGTGGTGCCTGGCTGGGGTGGGGGACCTCAGGCTGCGCCCCCCGTCCGGTGGGGCTTGATGGGGACCTCAGGCCATGCTCCCTGCCTGGTAGGACTTGACGGGGGACCTGAGGCTGTGCCCCCTGCCCGGCAGGGCTTGATGAGGGACCTAAGGCTGCACCCCCAGTCCAGGGCCAGGTCGGGGGACCTGAGGCTGTGCCCCCTGCCCAGCGGGGGCTTGACAGGGGTGGGGCCGGCTGGGTCTGGGTCTCCTGCGATTTCGAGGTGCACACGGGTGGGCGGGGACTTGACTCTGGGTCCCGCAGCGTGCCCCAGACTCTGACAGGAGGGAGATTTTCATATAGATTTTACTAATTTTCTTTCCTCTCTGACACTTCTATTATAAAGAAAGGGCAAATAGCAATATTGAAATATTTCCTCTAATTCCCTTTTGATGTGCATGAATTTCGTGCACCGGGCCACTAGTTTTTAATAAAAAGTGTTTTCTTGGTCCTGAGCAGGTTTTAAAAATCAAATTCTATAAGAACACGGAATATGGTCTAGGAATGTGGGTGGCAGTGACATTGATCGAGACTCTAAAAATGTTATAAGGTGTGTACCAGAAAACTGGGAGCTTAGAGTTGTAGACATGGAAGTCTACAGGTCCATAATCCCTTTCCTAAAACCATCTCTTTTAGGATTCAAAATCCTGATGCTTCTTTTTTAAAAAGAATATGATTTTATTGATTTGAGAGAGAGAGGAAGGGAGAGGGAGAGACAGAGAAACCTGATGTAAGAGAGAATCATCAATTGGCTGCTGCCCCCCTCCCCTGCATGCGCCCCAACTGGGGATCGAACCTGCAACCTGGGTATGTGTCCTAGCTGGGAATCAATCCTGCAGCCTTTCAATGCACAGGACAACACTCAACCAAGTCACACTGGCCAGGGTCATCCTGATGCCTCTTAATGATAGGACACCCCAGTAAGATCTGGAGCAGAACCCTATAATCAGATGCATTAATACATCTGTATTAATGAATGAATACATTAATGAATTAATACATCTGAATAAAGGGAATGAATACCCACACCAAACGGTTTAAAGAAGACTAGTAATATACAGCAATTCTTGAAGTTAGGATTTACTACCAGATAAGTTTAGGTCATGTCATATTTTACTAACAAATGTGTCATTGCAAAATTTTTGACTTTCGGTGCTTTTGAATTTTAGAATTGCATATAAGGGATTGTGGGTCTGCGTTGTGCCCAAGTGGCAGCTCCCAGCAGGAGTAGTTGTATATGGGCAGGTAGCCACTTCTTATGAGACAATAGAGTTAGAAGCACCACAACTGGAGTCACACTGTTTGGGTGCAAATTCCAGCCTTGCCAAGTGACTTTGGGTAAATTCTTTAACTTCCCCAGGGTCTTACCTTTATATCTGTAGGGCTGCAGATTATAAAGATTAATAAGTAAGGTTTGCATGTGAAGTACAATGTGTGTATCACATTAGGCACTCAAATATGCACCAGTTTCCTCATCTGTATAAGGGAAATAATAATAATGTGTGTCACAAAGATGTTTCATGAGACTTAAATAAGTAAATAGATGTCACGTGCTTAGAATAGTGACTGCCCCATAATCAGCATTGAGGAAATAGTAGCCAATATCATTATCATCGAGGTTACTAAAAGTCCATACGTTTCCTGTCAGCAGAGTCATTTTTAGGAAAGAGAAAATATTTATTGAATGAATGAGTGGAGCATTGGAAAATCATACTAATTCATAATTAGAATGTTCTAGACTGTAATTCCATCCCAGTTCTTCCCAAGATTCTTTGCTCCCTCCCTCTCCCTGCCACCATCACCACCCAGAACCTTTATCTTCCTTCATTTGCACAGCGCTTGATGAACTTGGCACTTGTCTTCCTCATCACAACCATGCAGGTGTGTTAGGCTGTCTGGGAAGCTGTCCCAGAGGCTGACAAACCCTTGGCAGTCAGATAGAAAGGCAAAAGGGAACTGTTGGCTGATGTCTCCAAGCCTGACTCACCTGGAGAGTTCCAGAGGTATCTTTAACGTTTTAGGGTAAATGATGAGGTGGCTGCTGCTGCTGGTGGGGTGTGTGTGTGTGTGTGTGTGTGTGTGTGTGTGTGTGTGCCTCTCCCAGACACATATCTTGGATTCTCTTTTTCCCCCCATTGTTATATCTTAATCTCTTGTGATTGCTTAGTAGTGGCAGGGTTTGATAAAGTCCTAAGTCTGCAGAGACATTTTCAATGCCGGCAATGTATGGAGGGAGCAGGGGGACTGGCGAGGCAGAAACCAGTGGAAGAATGTGTGCTTGTGTGTCACAGTTTGGACTCATGTCTTGGCACGGCTGCCACATTCCCTGGCCTGTAAGAACTGCATCTTCTCTTAAGGCCACACATACTTGGCAAAGCCCTGTTTTGTTCCTTTCCCGAGGGGGTGCTTAGGTAGCGAAGGTGATGGATAATATGGGCAGGTCCTGGTTGGACAGGGGCATGAGAGAATATGGAAAGAATCCTCTTTAAAGAGCCTTATTGCGCTGGATGTTGGTGTCTGTAAACAATCGCAGCATTCAGGGAGTTCAGGACTTAAACGAGAAACACAACTTTGTCAGATCGTACCGCTCGGATAAAATGGCATAGGCTCCGGAAATCTATAATTAAACGTATTTTTGAAAATGAAAAATATAGTGTAACATCTGGTTTATTTCACTACAGAAGTGCCTGGGCATTGCTTATGTAAGTGTGATTGACTTTGGCTGATATTTGGATTTCTCTGTGTAAAATTTCTGTATTTTAATTAAAGTTTATGTGCTTGACTCTATTTGTGGTGTAAACAAATAGCACACAGACACACACACTCTAATCTAATGGCTGTGTTACTTAGAAAATCTAATGTGTGTTCATTTTCTTTCTGTTGCAGCGGATATTCAACTCCTTTGTTTACACTGAGAAAATCTCAAATGGAGAAAGTGAAGTACAGCAGGTAAGAGGTTATTTACTGCTTGACATTCTCCATCTCGGTCTTGGCTCTTGGATGTGGCTTCGTTACTCTTTCCACGCAGCCGCCATGTGGGGTTTCCTGTGACCTGTGTATGAATCCATAGGCATCGTAAGCCCAGTGGCGGCAGCCTCGCACTTCAAGTTCTTACAGGCAATCGAAATAACAGTGATATGGATGGTTTTCTTTTATGTGTGCTATACTTTGGAAATATTTTGCATTCCTTTTGTTGTTTTGGAAATTCCTAAACTGCTCATATTTAAAAGTATTAGGAAATTATTTCGTCTGATACAGGAAAAAGTGCCCAGGTTTTGGAATCGGACAAGCTGCACGTCAAATTCTGGTTTTCTTACTTACTTGGGGGCCCCTGGTAAGCGATGTAGCCTTTTTGAGCTGCAGGTTCCCAGTCTTCCATGGAGGGAATAGAATATCTGCCTTAGAGGACACTGAAGCTCCAAAAGATAATTGTGAAAATTAAATGAAATCATGGCAGATTCACTGAGCATAAATGAAACCCTTATGTGGAAGGGTTTAGTTCGGGCATAGAAGCAGCTCAGTAGATACTGACTTCTCTTGTCCCTTTCTTTCTCCTCTCCTCCTCTTGTATTCTTCCTTTGCTTCTTTCCTCCCATCTTCTTTCCATCCTCTGGAGGGTCAAAAAGTTCTGAAGCCAGGTTCTGCCCACTTTATTTAGAGCTGGCTTCAAATGGACTGCTTCCTAAATTAACACACAGTGTTGGTGAACTCGGTCTTAAATAATTGATCCGCCCTTGCGAAGGAAGGGTGGCAAAGAGGATTCCTGGGTTTCAATTTCAGCTAATCCACTCACTTCATTACACTATGTGACCGTCAGCGGGTAATTTGAAGCTGGGTTGGAAACTTAAGTAATAAACACGACCAAGCGAAAAGCCAGGGGGTAGCAGAGAACATCCACAGAGTGAAGAGATCACTGTGGTGAAAGACATAACAACTTAAACCTCGGAGATGCTGCCGTTATTTTATTCACGGAAAACAGCTTGACTTGATCTGAACTTGAGAAGTGCCATGCAAGAGCCAAAAGCTTCGCAAGTGTCATTAGAGTGAAGTTATATAGGGGATAGTTACTTATTTATAATAAATTGCCGAGGTTTAGTCTTCAAGTTCAGCATTTCCTGTTTATAGTCACTAAATTTTTTATTTTGGTTTCTTTGGGTTTAATTTATAGGGTGTAAGCAGCTCTGAATAGTTTTTTTTTCCTTAGCTTTAAGTATTTTTAAAAACGAATGACCTGAAATTACAATGAATATGAAGCAGTTTGCTCTATCAAGTCTTATCTTCGTAATCCCTGTCTTATTTTTATTCCAGCAAACTGGAAAGTGCTTTAGGATCATGGCATTTAAAATGGTTTTACAGGGGAAGATTTCTACAGAGGCCATGTTCAAGGACACTCCTGGGGAGACCAACAGCCACTTGATAACATTTTAAAGAAACTGAGCCAGGGATATCAGTTTTGCTGCTTTCCCTTAAGTAACAGATACAGGTTCTCCCTTCAGCCGTTTTCAAATGCGCAGGTAGTGTTTGTTTTCTTGTAGCGATGTCAGTTGCTTTATTTAACTGTGAACAAGTTCGGAAGCACTCTAATAAATTTTTAAAATTATAGCAGCTGATTGAGCACCTAATACTGGTGCTAGGCAATTTCAGCTTATTATCACAGCGATTTTCCTCCATAACCATGAAGGAAACATATTATCCTCATTACAGATGAGGACACGGAAGCTCCAAAAGATAAGTTACCCGTAGTCTCAAGATGTGTAAGTAAGCTGTACACATCGGTAGTTTTTAAAAAGAACAACCAACCAAGACAAGCTCTTGATGCTGTTTGCTTGGCGTTGAGGCTGTGAGGGAGAGGCCTTTCGGAGGGGCTGTGGCTCAGGGTGTGCACTGTGAGGCTGGACCTGTGGACACTGCAGTGGGCATCTATTTAGCTGCAGGTTGTCTTGTTTTTGTATATAGTGACAGCATCCTGCCATTCTTAGCTGTGGAAAAAAAGGGGGGGGTGGTCACCTGGCATGGGAAGTATTTGGATCGTTTTTAGTTGTGTGGTAGTTCTAAACTGTTGTTTTAAAACAAACTACAACTCTTCATTGTCAACAAAGTGAAGAGTCACTGCATCAATGAAAGTTCAAGAACCTTCTGTGCTAAACACAATTTGCAATGTTTTGTTAATTTTTGTATGTTTAGAATGCTGAAATGTTTTTGAAGTTAAATAAAGACAGTATTACATCTTTTAAAAAAAGATGTTTAAGTAAGCTAGTTTTCAAAATAATTTTGACCCAAAGTAACCTGTATTTTTATTTTAACAGAATTTACTTTAAAATTTTATATTTTCATCCAAAATAGGAGTTTCTGCTAACTCTGTTTCTTTGTTTATTTGTGGGGTTTGTTGTTGTTGTTGTTTTTTAAGTAAATTTTAGAGAGAGAGGAAGGGAGAGGGAGAAAGAGAAACATCTATGGACTGCCTCCTGCACACCCCCTACTGGGGATTGAGCTTGAATCCAACTGGTGACCTCTTGGTGCATGGGACGACGCTCAACCACTGAGCCACACTGGTGGGGCTAGCTCTGTTTTTATCTGAATAATTCAAATTAAGGAGAATTACCACATAGTCAGTTCTATCTCTCCTCACTCTGAGGGTCAACAGAGTTCTCTCTGATACCCAGAATGTACTTTTAACTTTTCTCTAGTCTCTCCAGTCTGCCCTCTGAAGAACCCTGGACAAATAGATCTTTTTTTTTTTTTAAGGATCTTTTTTTTTAATTCTTTTTTTAAAAAAAAATATTATAATAAGTATTACAAAGGGTATTACATATGTGTCCTTCCCCCACCCCCCGCCCTTGACAATCCCTGCCCTCCCTTACCCCCCAGTGTCTTATGTCCATTAGTTATGCTTATATCTATGCATACAAGTCCTTCGGTTGATCTCTTACTCCCCTCCCTTCTGCCCCCCAACCCTCTCTGGCCTTCCCACTGCAGTTTGACAATCAGTTTGAGGCAGCTCTGCCTCTGTATCTATTATTGTTCAAAAGTTTGTAATGGTCTTTATTATCCATGAATGAGTGAGATCATGTGGTATTTTTCCTTCATTGACTGGCTTATTTCACTTAGCATAATGCTCTCCAGTTCCATCCATGCTGTTGCAAATGGTAAGAGTTCCTTCTTTTTTACAGCAGCATAGTATTCCATCGTGTAGATGTACCACAGTTTTCTAATCCATTCATCTACTGATGGGCACTTAGGCTGTTTCCAGATCTTAGCTATGGTGAATTGTGCTGCTATGAACATAGGGGTGCACATATCCTTTCTGATTGGTGTTTCTGGTTTCTTGGGATATATTCCTAGAAGTGGGATCACAGGGTCAAATGGGAGTTCCATTTTTAGTTTTTTGAGGAAACTCCATACTGTCTTCCATAGTGGCTGCACCAGTCTGCATTCCCACCAGCAGTGCACAAGTGTTCCTTTTTCTCCACATCCTCTCCAGCACTTGTCGTTTGTTGATTTGTTGATGATAGCCATTCTGACAGGTGTGAGATGGTACCTCATTGTTGTTTTGATTTGCATCTCTCAGATGATTAGTGACTTTGAGCATGTTTTCATATGTCTCTTGGCTTTCTGAATGTCCTCTTTTGAAAGGTGTCTATTTAGATCCTTTGCCCATTTTTTGATTGGATTGTTTATCTTCTTTTTGTTAAGTTGTATGAGTTCCCTATAAATTTTGGAGATTAGGCCCTTATCAGATATGACGTTGGCAAATATGTTTATCTTCTTTTTGTTAAGTTGTATGAGTTCCCTATAAATTTTGGAGATTAGGCCCTTATCAGATATGACGTTGGCAAATATGTTTTCCCACGCAGTGGGTTTTCTTGTTGTTTTGTTGATGGTTTCTTTTGCTGTGCAAAAGCTTTTTATTTTGATGTAGTCCCATTTGTTCATTTTCTCTTTAGTTTCAAGTGCCCTAGGAGCTGTATCAGTGAAGAAATTGTTTTGGCATAAGTCTGAGATTTTGTTGCCTTTGTATTCTTCTAGAATTTTTATGGTTTCCTGTCGTACATTTAAGTCCTTTATCCATTTTGAGTTTATTCTTGTGTATGGTGTAAGTTGGTGGTCTAGTTTCATTTTCTTGCATATATCTGTCCAATTTTCCCAACACCATTTATTGAAGAGACTATCTTGGCTCCATTGTATGTTCATGCCTCCTTTGTCAAAAATTAATTGAGCATATTGGTTCGGGCTAATTTCTGGACTCTCTATTCTATTCCACTGGTCTATATGTCTGTTCTTGTGCCAGTACCAGGCAGTTTTGAGAACAGTGGCTTTGTAATACAGTTTGATATCTGGCATTGAGATCCCACCTACTTTGTTCTTTCTCAGGATCGCTGCAGCTATTCGGGGTCTTTTTTTATTCCAGATGAATTTTTGGAGAGTTCGTTCTAGATCTTTGAAGAAGGCCATTGGTATTTTAATGGGAAGTGCGTTGAATTTATAGATTGCTTTGGGTAGTATGGACATTTTAATGATGTTGATTCTACCAATCCAAGAACATGGTATGTTCTTCCATCTGTTTATGTCTTCCTCTATCTCTTTTTTCAGCGTCCTGTAGTTTTCTGAGTAGAGGTCTTTAACCTCTTTAGTTAAGTTTATTCCTAGGTATCTTAATTTTTTTGGTGCGATGGTAAATGGGATTGTTTTTCTAATCTCTCTTTCTGAAAGTTCACTATTGGTGTATAGAAATGCCTCAGATTTCTTGGGGTTAATTTTGTATCCTGCTACATTGCCAAATTCATGTATTAAGTCTAGTAGCTTTTTGATGGAGTCTCTAGGGTTTTGTATGTATAATATCATGTCATCTGCAAATAAGGACAGTTTTACTTCCTCTTTTCCAATTTGGATGCCTTTTATTTCTTCTTCTTGCCTAATTGCAATGGCTAATACTTCCAGTACTATGTTGA